TCTGAACTCAAATATGCATTCCGATTTTTTTTCTCCGTAATAACATATTTAAAATATAATTTTTCAAAAACTGTATTCCATAAATTCACAAATCAGACTGATATCACAAGGAAACTTGCCTTAATATAAAGAAATGTCCTGGTGATACCTCTCGCTTTGCTCACCACTGCCAGCCCCAACATTTACGGGGAGAGTCCAAGTGAGTCCTAGACGTGGATTTTTATTCTCTTATTGTATTCCAAGGCCTAGCATGACGTAAGAAGCTCTTTCAGTGTCAGCTTAGATATCTGCAAACTGACAACCATGAAGCTTTTCCAACGTCCTTAAGCTCTTCGTCGAACTTTTGGTCTCTATCAGCTCCCAAATCTTTGGCCCAACAGAAAAACACCTTCCTTGATTTTTGCGTCACTTAATCTTCGAATTTTATTTTATCAAATATATAAATCCCCTGTCAGTTTTGTGCATACATATGGCGAAATTCTTCGTCCCAAGCTTAATATGCAAATTAGGCAGATAAATATCCTCAGGATCAACAAGGGGCCAAGATTGTGGGAGTTTGAAGGTTTCCGCGGCATTTTATCTACCTATCTATCTATGTTAGTAGAGGAGGGTGAGAGAAACCAATCAAAATCACTATCGTCGGCATCGGTCATGCGAAGGTAAACATTCTAGAATATACAAGGACTCAGCGCCATCACATTCTAAGAAGTTCTATATGATACACATAAAAGATAAACTTGTCAATTTTGAAGAGAAGTTAAAAAAATACGCTTTATTAATCCGACCTTCCCTTGCAACTGTTTCTGTGAGCAATAGCGCCGATGACAGAAAAAGAAAAGAGTATTGTACGGGGAACTATTATAAAAACAGTTACTTTTTCTCAATTTGGAATATACTTTTCGTTTATCACATTCCTGTATTTAGACACTTACAAACGTGAGGTAATATCTGAATATATTATTGTGCTAATTGCGGAATAAAATATAAGGATGTTTGAAACCAAAGATGAAGATAGACCAGGGATCTAACAGCAACCCAGATATTTCTATTTACTTTCTCCATGCAGCTGCTCCCCTTCTCCTGTCACAAGAAGGACGATGGAAGTCCACTACTCTGTGACGGACCTAACCCCCCAGACATCTAACATCATCTGCTACACACAGAGCACAGAGTAGCACTGCTTCTCACGTCAGTGAGAAACAATCCACTGGATTTTCTTCATATCTGTGCAATATCTCGTAGGCCTACGCACATCACCAAGATCTTTTATGTTCGTTTTAAGCCTTTTTCCTCCATTGCTTCTTAAATTTCTCCCATATTTTCCATAATTTCAGTTGTTAGCTTTTCCCACACCGTAACGAACAACAAAAGGCCTCTGGTGCACATGTCTACAAAGTATTATTAAACATGAAAATAACAATCTAAAAATCGACACCGATATAAAAGTTGATTTTTATCTGATCCTCACGGACCCCTGAAACTCATTCGTGGAACCCCTAGCCCTAGGAATCCATGGACTCCAGGTTAAGCACATTGTTTAATATATGTATATATATATATATATATATATATATATATATATATATATATATATATATATATATATATATATATATATATATATATATATATATATGCACACATCCACACATCCACACCCACACCCACCCACACACATAAACACACACCCATACACACACACACAACCACGGTTTCTTCCTGTGTCAAAGATATATAAATTTAGGACATCAAGGATTTCGCATATTTCCTCCTCAGTATAAACAATGTTGTTGTCTTTGATGGTAATAATCAAGGATTTTGCACATTTCCTCCTCAGTATAAACAATGTTGTTGTCTTTGATGGTAATAATTTGAACTCTATTATAGTCTTACTACTTCTGTAGTTAAAGAAGAGCTTTAGTTGATTTGTATATTTATTGATTATATCCTTTTCAATGTCTATTTCACCTCTCTCTTTGTTTGGGTAAACTCATTTCTTCCTACTTCATCTATTTAATATTTGCCTTCTGAACCTTTTTCCAAAGGAGCTCCCATTTTCTTGCATTTATCAATAATTTCCTTAAAATTTATGTTTGGTTTCAGGAGCTTCAGTTATAACTGCTGCTTCTGCTAACTTCATTTTCTTGGTCTGATCATCTTAACAGAGCTGTACTCACAGCAGTTGTCTGCTTGAAACTTTTACCATGCAGGATTCACTTTAACTTGTAAGAGCTTCATTGCACTAATGGATGCAATGCACTTTGTTTGTGTATGTGTGTGTGTGTGTGTGTGTGTGTGTGTTAAATGAAAAGCAAATTATAATCACTTGATTTATTAATATGATCTTAGTACAAAATGACTAGACAAAACAATCCAGAGAGTTTAGTTGTTTAACATATTTACAAATCTGTATCACATTTAATGCATCACTTTGTATAATAACAGATGAAATAAACATGACAGGATGGGAAAACTTCAAATATTATACAAATAAGGTTGCAGAGCTCACAAATAATACCTGATGTTTAATGAAAAAAGAAATACTGACAACAAAACTTCTGTAAATTGGTAATTCTACTAATATTAGTTTCTATCAGATATATACAATATTTTTTTTGCAATATTAATTAAAAAACAGAAATGCTACATTTTGTTGCAGATCAAATTACATAATCACATGACCAATAAAAAAAAGACAAGTAATTACTTTGAGATAAGCTCAGAGTTATTACTTTAACCAAAATACAGCAAAATTATCAAGGTAGTAGTCACACAGCTCACAGAACTATATTCATAACCTCTACTGAGAAAAATAAAATGCACAACACTGCTTTTAGTCTGATGCTTACACGATATCCACAACCTAAAATGCAATTATTCACTTTGCTAGGGGGTAGTCATCAGACGCATTTTGTACTTGCCCTGCTGTCTGTATTACCAAGTGATATGTGATTAGTTATCTGCTATTGATGACTCTAAAATATTGTATTATAAAATAATACACAATGCAACAATAAATATCTTTACTAGATTCTTGTTAAAGCTCTCATATATTTCTGAGAATACTGAGAATACTTGTCATTACCATTTTTTACCATACAAAAACTAAAACAAGTTATTAGGTAAACACCATAATAAATTATGCATATAACTGCACATTAGCATGGAAATAATGTCAGTGCCATGGCTCTGTTGATTATAGTGTGCCTCTCACTGTGAAGAACAATATTTGATCCCATTGCTAGACACAAGAACAAAAAACAAAACAAAACAAAAAAAAAAGAAAGCAAGCAAAGGCACTGGCAACAATATCCTACCCAGTTCAAAGAGGAAAGACTTATCAGAAGCCTGTGCATAAACATATACAGTATATAGAGAATTTATGAAAAGGACTTTAATCATATCCCTTCCAAAATTTCTTGATATTGTATGCAGCATATTCAAGTAAACAAGTCGCAATTCATCTACATGGATCTATATTTACATGTACAAAGTACATTAATAAAATCTATGAATTCAATTTTTTCATCACACAAATAAAATTATTCAAATCTTTTAACAGTGAAAAAAATATGGCAAAATTTCAAAATACTTACTTTTCAAGCCATATGTGCTAAAAATTATTATATAATGACACATTTTTCTCTATTCATCTTGGGTGTGTGCATGTGAAAGTGCTAATTTGTGATTAAGAAAAAGTTATGAATTCACACTCCTACATCTTATTCAAGACTAGTTCTTGCACAAGCACCTGTTTATGTTACTATACTGTATACTGAACACTTGGTATCACAGACACCAAACAAAAATGGTCATTATTAACTATCCACAAAATAATATCAGCAAGTTATTATTGTATTAAAAAACTAACAATTTAAAAATAACATAAGTATCTGTCCTTTTGCAACACATATACCAATGAAACTGAAATATAAACTTGTAAATATAATATAGCAATGTATAATTGCATTACAGATCATTTGTGACAAAAGAAACATTCAAAACATATCAGTACAAAACTGTTTTAAGAATAGAGTGACCAGGTAATGAAGTCATTTCATTTACGTCTGTCAAAAACACACATATGCACACGTACATACATGTAATTGCACACAAAAACATGTACAGGCTTATGTACACCTATCCACATGATTAACAGTGTTCACTGTGGTAAATGCAAAAGAATTTATGAATGAGAATTAATATCTACACAGCACAAGATGTATCTGAATGGTTTTGACAATACCGTATGTTTGTCAGAAATACCTGTATTTCTAATGAAGATATAGTCGAAACCAATCAAATACATTTCTTGCTCTATGAGGATCTTTATTCTCATTCATACCTCTTTCTACACACCCACATCAATAGCAACACATACAAATACAATGATGCACTCATACACACAAACAAGCACCCAGACATACATGCACAAATTGGCTGAAAAAAAGAGGAAATACAAGCTGGAGAAACAAATTGGCACCTAATATCATGCACCTTTGTAGATAATGAAATAAATAAAATAGAACACAAGAATTGAGCTTCTTTCTAACTGTAACTTTCATTGAAGATTTTCTCTCATATTTCTTTATAAACTAATTTCCTAAATAAATACTTTTGGAAAGGCACTTTATGCTGTTTATGTGACATATAGATTCTCAGATCAATGCAAATGCAACTTTTGAGTTCAAAATAGAAAAAAAAAATTGATTAAACACTGTCAGTCACTAAATTATCGGCTGGCTTGTGAAAATTGTGCGAAACCCAACTCAATGAATATTTGTATACACAAACATGCATATACACAGAAATAAATACCCATGTTTATCTATCATATGTATATACACATTTATATATATCTACCTATACAGTAGATATGCATTTATTTCTGTGAATATGCATGTCAGTGTTATGAATGTTCATTAGGTCAGGGCTCGGACAATTTTAACAAAGCGACCATATCTCTCATAAAGCTATGCTGATGTGCAGAAAATCTCTGTAATTTTAATACAAAGAAATGCATATAATGTATGTCACATGTATTTAAATATCACCTTTGTGGCAAAAAATAATAAGTTGAACTGTATATTTACAATTGCTTTTTCACTGTTTTACTAAAGATTCAGTGGGTAAGTTGATCTATGGGTTAGAGAATAAAAGCTGGAAGCTATTAGTGATCAATCAAACTATACCTTCACCAGCAATGTAAAGCACTATCATTCCATTATTAATTTTATAATTTACATTCATAAATGATTAAATTGGCCTGTATTCTCCTGTATGGAAAAGAAACATTCCTTAATTAAAGAATTGCTAAATTTAATTCCAGGCCAGCAAGAAATGCAAATCAGAGACACTAAGTTCAGTCATATACATTTGAATGCCTAGCAATTCCCAAACTTGTGTGAGATATTTCTACAGCAATAATGAATGCATGAGGAAAAAAAAAAAAGAAAAAGTAAAAGAAAAAGAAAAAAACTGCCCAAAATATAAGATATACAGCACATATCACACATTAGCTAGTCAAAATTAACCATCATAAAAAAGTCACTATTTTTTATTCTTAAGTAAAATAGCTATCTGATCACTTGCATATGTGTGTGTATGTGTGTGCAAGTATCTGTTTGTGTGTGCCTCTTAGTTTCCACAGGTGTCCAAATGACATAACAAAGCAGTTCCTGCTGCATATAGATATCTACTATGATATTTCCAATAACAATCTAATTATGTAATTGATAAACTGTTTATGTTGAATATATTGTAAATAAATTATATGGTACAAGATTTATCGTGATATATCTCCATACAGGACACAATTTTTTCTACTTTATATTAAGTAAGTACTCCTAACCTGTCACTTGTAAAAAGTATTATTATCAGTTTTCTAGTCCGTGAGCAGGTTCAGTAACTGAGATACCTACAGAATGTAAAGTAAACATATTAAATTTTTCATATCAATAATATTTCAGCAGAAGACTACAAGGAAGTTTCAACTGCCTTCTTATTCAGTGCTGCTTGACTTGTTGGGGATGGTGTCCTCTTATCGGGCAAGGCTGGCGGCAACATGAGGCCATCTGCTGTGACTGGAGGGCTCAGGGCAGTTGGGGACCTGGCTGCACCTATTACAAGGTTGGAGTTTACGTTTCCTGAGAGCATCTCAACCATCCTGAAAATGTGCATGGGCATTAGTTATTTTCCTCTCCTTTAAAAAAAATATTGATTAATATGCAGAACATCAGATGTGGGGGATCTGGGAGAATGTTTGGGAATAATGTTATGATTCACTAAATGTTTCCACCTACATATCCTTACAAATTCTTCCCTCCTAAAATTATGCATAACGGGTTAGTTGTATTAACACTTTACTGACGGGCATAGCTATAGCCTTCAGGGAAAGCCTACTCTTCATGATGGGCATGTGTGTACAAGACATGACTCACACTAGCAATTGAGTGGACAAAGCTCTCTGTACACAAATAACACCCTGCTAGAAAAGCTAGACGATTGCTAGTAGTCGCTGTAAAAGTAACTATGAAAATTCCAGCAACAGTCTCTCACTATTATCCAAAATTTATGCATGGCTAACTTTCACTGATGATTATTATCCTCATTTATTTTCTTGTAACATTGTGTCTCTATCTGTTGGTTCCTAACGGCCAATGCCTATAAAATTCACCAGACACTGTCAAGACAAAGATCAATTTTCACTACATACTCCAGATTGCCTGTTAATAACATAGTTACAGTTTTAAACAGGCTTCAGGGGAAAATGAAGAAGAAAGTTAAGCAAAAACAAAATGATAAATTCATAAAACTTACTGACAACGAAGAGCACGATTTTCAGCTATAATTGCATCTGATTCCTTCTTTGACTTTTCAAGCAAATTATTGAGTGAGCTCAAAACTGCTGGTGATGGGGGTTTCTTTGGTAACTGTGAAGCATTAGGAACGGGCTGGGGTGCCTGGACCATTCCTGCTGCTGTCCCCACAGTACGGCTGTGGTTAATCTGCGGTAAATTGGTTAAAATTCAAGAAAAATAATAAGGAAAAGAGAGAAAAATTAAAATTAGATATAACTTTATGTGACTCAAATCTCACTCAGCTTTAATTCTCTAGACTAAAAATTCCACTCACCTAGGCATGAGATCATAAAATTCACCTCTCTAAATCTTTCCTAACATCCTACTATAACTTCACTACAGCAGCTATCACTGCCTACCTCTAAAAATCTGTTTATTCTTTACTGAGTTTACCAGGGAATGACTTAATGCTTGTAATGAAAAAGGTATTCCTTTATCATCATCTTTATAACAGAAAAAACAGACAAATAATAAGAAAAGTGTCACATGTATTCTTTCATAGCATACTTCCACACCAGATCAACATGTACCAGAAATCCCCAGTAACTTACCGCAATTTCCATGATTTTCCAAATGTCCTTCTGGCGTTGTTTCTGAAGTGAAGATATGTGTTGTGCGGTTCTTGCTGCATCTTGCAAAACAGCTTCTAATGGTGAAGAGAGAGCAGCTACTTCACTGCAACATTCACTCTGTTTCCTATGATATAAATATCATTTAGTTTGATACGATGGAGTATATAAGTTAAATAATGCAATAAAATTCCCCAATTTTACTCAGTATTCATCAATGATAATGAAAATGGGGGAGTGATAAATAAAATATAAACCATTATATATCTAACATATATCATGTATCATAATTTACAACTTACTCTACGTGTTTGTAAAGATCTTGTTGCAATCTGTCCCTTTTTCTCAAAGCCTGTAGGAGCAACTTGCACATGTCTGTATTATCATGTGGTGTAGCACGCTGCTCTTTATTCCTTCTTCTCAGATTACAATAATGGTCTTCTCCAGCTGTTAATCTGATCAAATTATTATTAAGTTAGCATAAACACTTACAAAACTTCCATCATCTTGAAGAATTTAAGAGAATTTTGACAAAAAAAAAAAAAAAAAAAAAAAAAAAAAAAAAAAAAAAAAAAAAAAAAAAAATCTGAACAATCCAGTAAGTTATGTATGAGTTATTACTCTTTCTATCTCAAGGAATTTTATACAAATTACCATGTGGCATAAGACCACAATAAAAATCAAAAGAAAATCAATGTCTGGTATAATCACTGTAATGAATTTCCAGAGTCCCTTTTAAACTAATTTTCAATAATGCAACTGCCTCTTTGTGAGGGAATACTAAAGAACCTACACAGAATCCAGAGAATCAATAGCTCTTGCTCGGGCAAATGGTGAACATTGTAACTCCAGGATACGGGTGTTTAGGGCAGTGAGTGAGCCTTCTAGTTGCTGGACACGTTCCACCACAGCATGTACTTGTCTTAGGGTTACCTCTCCCATCTCTCTCCAGCCACTGTATAGCTTCTCTGAGGCTGAATAATAAGATAAAACTTAGAAATCTTAAAAGGTAAAAAGTTATTATGATAAAGCATAAAATGTAGGATTGACTTTCCAAGTACTTCATCCACTGGAAAGGGCTAGTTTATTATTATTATTATTATTTTTTTTTTTCTTACAAGATTATAGATTAAGAGAAAGATCCAGTGCATTTTATGCATTTATGACTGCCTGTGAGTAACCAAGCAACAGACTGCCTGAGACTGGCAGAATGAGGGAGAGTACAACATTATAAAAAAATATACTCAATTTTACTTTGGAGTCATTGAAATTTATATTTCATCATACATACAAAATATTTACATACTGAGAGGTTATAAGTACAAAAAACAAATATAAAGAATGTCTCATTTCCTGTGGCATTTATGCATAGGACTGTAATACACCAAAAGTATGTTCTGACTTCCTGCTTTCACTATTTGAAATTACACCAAGTAATTTGGGTTGTGATTCAGGATTTTAAATTAAATTGTGCTATGATATCATACTGATAAAATATGCAAAATTAATGAATTATCCTAGCGTAAAATAGGTCAAGAATCAAAGGATATCTAACTATCATGAAGATAATCAGTGATTCCTCAGCAAAATAGCCACAGAACCAAAAACAGCCAGATATCAAGAAAACAAAAAGAAAAATGGTACTGAGACCCCTTACTAAGGCGTCCTGAAGAAGCCTGCTCATCATAGTAGTCAAGGTCTGTGTTGAGCGCTTCCATGAAGAGATGGTGACGGGCCTGAAGTTTTGCTATGTCACTCAGCATTCTCTGGCCAGTTTTGGTTAACTGAGCATGGCCAGACATTAGATGAAGCCTGTAAACAGAAAAGATAGAAAAAACAATGTTCATATTATTTTAGGCAGATTGCCTTATAATTGCATTTCATTTATTTTTCCTCAGAATAATTATTATCATTATATCTATGCATTCCTGTTCTATATCTAATGTTGCATCAGTTCGCTAAACAGGGAATTTATGTCAGAATATATAATCAACAGAATTTATTGCTTTGTACTTCTGTTTATTAGGAAAAATACATAACAATAAAACAAAACAATGTATTAAGCAAGCACACATCATTTTTATCACTTACATTGAGACCTTCTGCGCTTGTGTTAACAGGGTAAGGAGACGGGCTTCCCGATGAAGGAAGAACACTGCATGTGCCCACATTCTACGCTGTGTCTGGTATTCTACAGCTGTTCTGGGTTCTCTTAGCATTGCCTCTACCAAAGGTGGAAAGTGTGGTGGTACCTGCGGTCGAGTCATGCCCTCGGCAAAAATATACAACAACCATTCATCTTCATCCTGAAGGAAAAAGAAATATGTAATTGATTAATAAAAATATATGAGACTTAAATAAACAATGAAGCCAATACAGATAACTAAAATAGATCCAGGACTTAAATCAACAATAAATAACTGCATAACATATAGATAACAGACCTCCATGTCCACAAAAAGGTAACATGACATAAAAAAAGACCTACACACATCAAGTAAATACAGACA